AGTCCAGGCCCAATTCAAGGTGTTGGTGATGACCCATAAAGCCCTAAACGGCTTGGGTCCTGGTTACCTGAAGGAGCGCTTACATCCATATGTGCCCGGCCGCCCCTTGAGATCTGCGGGAGAGGCCCTTCTCCGGGAACCCTCTGTGAAAGAAATTAGGAGGGTGGGTACTCGGAGGAGGGTTTTCTCTGCAGTGGTGCCTAAGTTATGGAATGCGCTCCCCAGAGAGGTCCGCCTGGCACCGTCGTTATTTGTTTTTCGGCGCCAGACGAATACCTTTTTATTTAAGCGGCATTTTAATTGTTAATATTATTGGATTTTATCTGGCCAGGGCGGCTTATTTTATATTGTTATTTTTGTATTTTAATTTAATGTTTATTTTTAATTTAATGTTATTTATTTTTAACTTATTGTTGTAAGCCGCCCTGAGGCTTCAGCGAATGGGGCGGCATAAAAATGTTTTAATAAAATAAATAAATAAATAAACTGCAAATTCTTACAGAGATCGTTTAGCTGCATTGTGAATGTATATAATGTATATTTGACTGAATGACCTGTCTGCTCTGGTTTACAGCTAAAGGTGAGAGAAAGGAGAGGGGAGGAATGCCATTTTAAACAGTGACTTAGCGTGGAAAGCTGGTGCTTTTGAGAAGAAGTGCAGGATCGATTTTATAATGCAAAAGCACACAGAAGCAACATTTTTGTGCCAGGATTTATCCAAATTTTCCCAACAGAAGAGACTGAGAAGGGATTTCTGGTTGGCGTCATGACGAGACTGCTGTGACGAGCAGGGGCTTCTGTTATCACGCCGGTATCTGTTCGGCAGTGAGCCGTGGGAGGCTCATCCAAGCCCTGTTGGGGCAAAGATTAGATTGTCTGAGCATTCTTCTGGTTGGTGTGGGGCGGCAGCTCCGCATTTACTGGGAGAAATTTGGTCTTTTCTCAACCGAACAGCACAGGGGAGAGATCAGCTCCCTGCAAGTCCTTGACAACCGGATAATAGGATAGAAGATCAGCTAGAAGTTCATCGGACCTGCTGGGTGAGCATTTTTATCTTTTTTCTTCAATACTACCCATGAAAAAGCTGCAGTTGTTACTAACTGGCATTAAAGAAGAAAGAAAAGCCCCTTTGATGGAGGGAGGAATCCCCCCCCCCCCACAGAGTTCTAAGCGACGACTGATAAGGGGGAAAGGAATTGAGGCTTTTTCGGAAAGTTTGAAGAGAATGACCTCTTTTTTTAACCTCCCCAACGGCGAAGAATCAAAATAAATAATTGTTGTGGAATTAAGAGATAAAAGGACAAACTCACTTGCGGAGCGGTCTTTTTTTTTTTTTTTAATTCTGTTTCTTTGTTCTTACAGTCCATTTTGTGCCAAGAACTCTTGAGCCAAGAAAAACAAACCTGTGGGTTTTTTTTCTTTGTTGTGACTTCATTTGAAAAGGCAAAATAGCCCTTTGCTGCCACCCTGTGGCTATTGGATTTATAGCAAGTTCCTTTTTTTTCTCCTCTTTTTTTTTCTCTTCTCTATTTCTCTGCTGTTGTCTTGTAATTTTTGGCAAGAAATTACTATCATCATGAGAAAAATACATCCTTCCTCCTCTTCGGTACCTACATCAGCTGCTCAGAGTCCAACCCACCAGCCTAAAGCGGCAGATGTTAAAAAACATCAAAAAGAGCTACAAATGACACTTCTGGCAATACAGACATCTTTAACAGCCTTGCAAGCATCCCAAGAGGCGATGTCAATACGACAGGAAAGCATCTCAACTGAGTAAAGAGAATGTCTTGATAAATTGGATAATTCTATTAAGGAGGTATTAACCCAATTGGCAGATGTTCGACTTAAAACTGAATACACAAAAAATACAAGTACATGAACAACTGGAAACAGTAGATAAAGAAACACAATTAATTAAGCAAGCAAACAAGTCACTATGGGATTTGCTTTCCATACTAGAGATGGAGAAGGCATCTAACTACTTGAGATTTCAGAATATACTCGAAGGAAAGAATGAAGAATTGCGAGAGTTAATGATTGGCATGCTGGCAGAGCTGTTAGAAATAGAAAATGAAGAGATTAGAGCAGGGATTGATCTTATTTACAGAGTTAACTCGACCTATGCCAGAAAAAACAAACTGCCGAGGGAAGTCTATGTCAAATTTGCTGTAAGGTCTATGAGACAATCTTTTGAGGGCCATATGTGAGAAACCTTTAAAGGAGGATGATCGCCATGAGGTGATGGTTCTGAAGCAAATACCATGGAGGATTAGAGAAGGATGAAAGAAATATTTATTCCTTACTACAAAGTTAATTAAGAAAGAGATTATGTTTAGGTGGCTAACACCAGAAGGAAAATTCTTCACTTGGAACTCTACAAGATATAAATTGGACTTGATTTTTAAGGCACAAGAATTCTATGAAAAATTGAGAAGTATGCTTGAAGAGGAAGAACCAGGCGCTTCAAAAGAAGGAGGGGAAGGTGCTGAATCAATGGAATTAACAATGTATCACTCTGAGGAAGGAATAGAAGTACAACAAGAAGTACAGACAACAAGGAAAAGAGAAGGGGTAGAGGTGTAAAGAAGAAATAAGAGAATTTGGTATTTTGAAGGGAATGATTTGCACATGGGTTGGTATGAGAAGGCTAAGTTACATGGTTCTTTTTTAAGTTACCATATTAGAAAATTTTTAATGTCAGTGTGGGAAAAGTTAAAGATAAAACTGTATAATCAATTACCAAGATGGCTTTCACCCAGGGAAGCTTTTGTGTATCCAAATGCATTGAATTTTGAATTTGAATTTTGAAGGGATTATAAGATATGATGACATTTTGGATAAGGATGGAGGATTGAAATTGAATTAAGAAGTACAAGAACAGGGAACTGGTATCTTTTGGTAGTATAAGGTGCAGATACAATCGAGATATGCTAAAGATTGTAAAGTGTGGAGTTTTTATAAAGACCTAATTGCATTTGAGCAAGTTATGCTTAAATCAGATGGAAAAATGATTAAAAGTTTATATGACGTCCTATGTTATAGATGGTATCTGTCACCAAATAGATTAGCTAAGATGTTTCCAAATATGTCAAACGGATGTTGGATATGTAAATACAAATTGGGTATTTTTTATCATACATGAAATTACTGTGGTGAGGATTGTACTCGCTCAACACTGGAAAAGTGAAGAACTACCCACCGATCAACTGACTCTAAAAAAAAAAAAAAAAAGGATTTTGGACTGTGCAGAAATGGATTGATTGATCTTATTATTGAAGGTGAAGGAAGATACTGACTTCTATCACATTTGGGATTTGTTTTAATTATTGGCTAGAGAAATGGGACTTTGCATAGATTTAAATATGATTTTAAGTTATCACAAATGGAAAAGGAAGGATGTGGGGGGCTGACCCAGCGGAATCGATGTTTTTGATGATAGATGTTGTTTGTTTGTAGTTTTCTTTTTGGTTTTTTTAGGATTATAATTTCTTAAATAATAATAAAACTTATTTTTTTAAAAAAGAAGAGACTGAGAAGGAGGAACTGAACAATTTCACCTTATTTATTTATTGGATTTTCTGTTACTTGCTAATACTTGGCTATCTTTTCCATACAGTAAGCCCAGCCCTTCCTTGTCTTGCCCCAAATATACCTCCCCAAGCACTGTTTTATTCTATGTTTTAACCCTTTGACATTTTTTCCTAGAAAACTTAGCTACTTATTTGGATTCAGTGTGTCTCTCCCATTTCCTATATGTTCCTTTTAAATCTGAACTCATATGGAAGTTGGTTGTGCAGCTACTCCAATTTCTTCAGATTCTTCTCATTTTCTTGCTCATTGGATTGGTTTAGTGACACTGGAAACCATTTAGTGACACTGTACACCCCAATTGCTTCTTACTGTTTCTTTTCCTTGCACATTAGTGGATACCTGCACAGTTTTCCAGGTCTGTTCATACTTCTATCCTTAATACTTGGTATCATGCTTTGTTATGATTTTTCACCTCCATCCCCTCCAGATTTAAAGTAATCTTAACCAAGAAGCACTGGAAGTCAAGTGCAATAATGGACTAGGTGTGGTCTAATAAACAGAGGCTTAATCCCAACAACATATAGGTTATGTTGATCAGTAGGAGAGTTAAACTGGGAGTGGCAATGTTGTGACCTGTTCTGGAAACAGTTGAACTTACTTTGAAAGACCAGGCCTGCAGTTTGGGAATGTTTCAGGATTCAGCTCTGCTCTTGGATGCTCCAATGGAAGCTGTGGCTAGGAGTGCTTCTGAACATCTTTGGTTGATGCATTAGTTACACCCTGGATCAAGTAGATCCGGTCATTCTCACGCAGTTAACCTGGATTGTAATATGCTCTGCACTGGGCTGCTTTGTAAAAACATTTGAAAATCTTAGGTGGTGCAAAATGTGATCAGCAGACTGATTTCTGGAGCCCATGTGGCTGTTTGTAATACTAGCTTTATTTCATCTGCACTGGTTTCCAATGAATTTCTGGACACAATTCAAAGTAGTAGCACTTGTTTTATACGTTTGGAATCAGGACCCTTGAAGGACTGTCTGATATATCATCCTATTGTCCTATTGCATTTAACATCAGAGGCACCGCTGTACGTTCCACCATTTTTTGAAGTACACATGGGATGTAAGGCAAGGCTTTTTCTATTGTGTTACCAAGGATGTAGATCTCTTACCCTCAGTTGGCTCTGCTTTTTAACCTCCAGGCAAGCTCCTAAGACTTTAATTTTGCAGAGCTGTTAATAGATTTTTGTAGTATGAACTATTTTTCCCGGATGTTGTGCTTTATGAATAAAATGAAAATTATGAATTTTTAAATTGGCTCAAACCAAGGCGGAAGAGTTCATCTATACACAATTTCTTCCGCAATCACCTCGCTGTTTTTGACGAAAGCCTCACGTAATCTCTCTATCAGTTCTCTGATTGGCTGCTATGTTCAAAGAGTGAGCAGGGGCGCAAGCGTACTGGGTTGCTTCCGGATCCAAGCGGTCTTCTCGGTGGAAAGTTCCTGGTTGTCCCATTGTTTGTCTACTTGGGTTGATTGCGTTCGTTTGAACACCTGCCGAAATGAACCGCTTGTTTGGCAAGTCGAAGCCTAAGGCGCCGCCCCCGAATTTGACGGACTGCATCGGCACGGTGGGTTCCTGCGGGAGGAAGAGAGGATGAAGAGGTGGCAGCGGCGCTCCCCCTGCTGCCAAGGGAACCGCCCCCTGGTCGTGTGTGGGGGCTGTCGTTCGCTCTATGGGCTTTGCGTAGAGTGGTCCCTGTCCGCAGATTACTACATGCCGTTCTTTATCATCTGGAGGTGGGCAGAAAGTGGGCCGTACTCTACTAGTGGTGCACCCGATGCCTGCTGCTGATGTGTGGGATTCCCAGAGGCTGGATCAGGCTGCTGGCCGCTGTTTATCCGGACTCTTAACTTCGATTTTCACTTCAATTTATAATCGAGTGTAACAGTATTCTTAGAAGTGAGCACCCTCCAGTTCAATTAAATTGAATTCTAGGTTTAATTTATAGTTTTACTTAGGGTGTAAACCTGTGCAAAGCTTACGACTGCCAGCATGCCCTGGTCAGCTAAATTTATATAGGACTGTGTTTTTGGAGTATTTTTATCTTGTTCTTAGCCGAAAAGGCCCCTGAAATGCCTTACAAATCATTGGTAAAATAAGACCAACTCTGCCCACTGGTTTGCAATCTAAACGATATGACATACAAAGTAAATAGAACAGGGAGAGGAAAGGAGAAAAGCAGCTTTTCCACAGGACTGGTGGAATAGCCCAGTCTTGTCGTTAACACCCTCAACACTGATTGCTGGAATAGCTGGTGTTGATGACAGTTGAGGCAGCAGCTGAGGCTGATTGGTATATGAAGATCCAGGACAGAATCTTGGTGGGAAATTCAGAACAGATTAAAAAGAGATAGGAGTCAAATTGTGGGATTCATCACAGGATGTGGTGATGGCTACCAATTTGCATAGCTTTCAAAGGGACTTGGATGAACTCATGGAGGAGAAGGCTATGAATAGCTATTAGTCCTGATAGTTGTATGTTCCCTCCAGTTCCAGATACAGTATTATGCACATCAGTGAGAATATGAGGGAGTATGTAGGTTTCCTACAAACATTGGGTTGTACACAGAATGGTGGACAAGATAGATCTTTGATCCAGCATAATAGGAAGAGAAGCCTCTATGTAAGTATGTGTATCACCTCAAAATCATAGATGTAAATAACAACAAATTAGTAAGAAATACAGCACAGCAGCAGTAAAAGTACCAGTAAAAAAAACAACATTTACAGATAGTTTTGACCTGTCATGTAAAGGCCATCCAATTTGGCACCAGGTAGGTAGATGAGGTGAGCAAGTTCAAAAGATGTTGTGGAAGTATTCCATCTGGCAGCCATCTATGTCTCTTCTGAAACTGTGGGGACCCAGAACCAGGCTTTCATCATAAATATAGAAACAGAGCGAGTCAGAAGGGGCCTCCCAGGCCATCTAGTCTGACCCCCGACTGCAGCCGGCTCCACTCATGACATGCAGAGGTTAGGAGGTTATTAGGAGGACAATATTAAGAGGTTAATCTGATGGATGGAACACTGTACTTGATAGATTTGAATGGGATGTAGCCAGCAAGAGTGCACCCTTGGGATCATGGAAAACAGGTTAGCTGAGTATTAGGAGAATCTGAATATACACTTGATGGACCATGGGAATTCTAGCTGAAAACAACACCAAATTTCTCTAGACCTCGACACTATAAAACCAAAGGATGGACAAAATTCTACTGAACTAGTCGCCTTAAAAAAAAAAAACATTCCCAGTAGATGGTGGTTATTTAAATGCCTTTTAAATATTTTTTTAAATTGAAGATGTCCATAATGTTTTTCCTAAATTCAAGATAATTTATTTAGGAATAAATCTGTTTTACAATTGTAAAATATATTTTAAAATCCATAATAATTTAATAATAAACATTATAAAAAGTCTCCTTGACATCATATTCAGATTTAGAAAGCTGGCAAAAGGGAAGGAAGAATAGCATCTTCCAACCTGTTCCAGTTCTTAAAACAATTTTCTTTTCATTACAACCAAAAGGAGAAAAGTTACATGCAATAGTTCCGGATGGCTGAAAATGACCCCCTTGTCAAGGGTCTGCCAAGAAGTCTTTGGATTCTTCCCTGATCCTTTTATGATATGTTTCCCACCGGTTCTTGATCTTTCCCTTTTGGCCACTACTGATACTAGAGATATAAAGGCTGTGGAAGATTTTGTGGGGGAAGGAAAAGAGCATCTATGGTCAAATCCATCTTTCCAAGGATGGATTTGCTTCCCTATCCTACTCGTATGACCTTTCAGAAGGCATGCTAAGGACCACAGAATTACAGCTTTTATATCTTGCTCCAAGTTAACAGTATGTTGTAACTGCAGTACCTAGGCTGTATTAATGTCAGACAAGTGCTTCCTAAAGGAAAGTCCAAGCACTTTAAGATAGGCAATTTGTAGCAGGCATGAAAATAATTGTTTGTTGCTTCCCCACGGTCAGAAAATTGACCTTGGTGAATACAGGAACAACCATGTTGGCTCAGACTATGGGTCCATCTAGTCCATCACTCCATACACAGGTAACCCAAGATCACTCAGGAAGTGGATGGAGGGTAGAAGAGGAGACTGGGGTCTCCAGGATGCAAGGTATCCTGATAGTACTTGAATCTTTTTCCCTCTCCCTCTGAATCACCACAGCTAAAGGACTCAAATTGGTGATGTTTGAGAAACACAAGTGCAAAGGTTAGTTACACCCTATGTGTAACTAACCTTTGGACACTAGCCAAGATGGAAACAAAGGATGCAGTGCGCAGGGGCAACTTTGGAATGGAAATAATGCTTTTTTAATGCTTTGATGCTAGAAACACAGAGAGGTACTGGGCAGAGAAAAGATTACAGGGTGGATGTATTTTCCAGCCATAGCACTTTGTTTCCTAGTGCCCAAGTGTTACTTTTGTTGTTGTCTGGCACATTCAGGAGTACTAAAGAACCAGTATAAGTGGAAATATATAAGCACTATTTCTTCATCCCATATTTTGATTCTGGATTAGCAATTCCCAGGGTCTGTGCATTAATGATTAATATTATTAATATTAATTATTGATTAATATTATTGTGATATTAAGTTGCTATTGATTGCATTTTTAGTGTTTTGAGTGTGATCACCATGTAGCATACTTGGGTTTCTTTAAGATTTGCTGTGATAGTCTTGCTTTGCTTCAGCATCTGCAGTTGTGTTTGCCATTAGTAAATAGGACCTCTCTCTCCCTCTCCCCCCACTCCCTCCCTCTTCCCCCCCCCCCAAAGGTGGAGGGCAGAGCAGAGTCTATTGACAAGAAAATTTCTAGGCTTGATGCAGAATTGGTGAAGTATAAAGATCAAATGAAGAAAATGAGGGAGGGGCCTGCAAAGGTAAGATGTTAGCAATTTTGGGTGAAGCGACGATTGCTGCTGCTATCTCATATAATACTAGTTCTCCAGGTTTTATCTGCGTTGCTGAATGTTTCTTCTGCAATAGTTGTCTCAGCATCTCAGATCTGGCCCAGGGTTAAGAAAATACCTAATGTATAGTACTGCTGTCATGCCTAGGGTACCTGTAAATCTTTGCTTGCCTCTCACCCTTAATTCTCAGTCTGTAAATGTAGATAGCAGCTTTCTCACATATTTTGCTGTTCCAGTGCATAAACTAAAGTGCAAGCTGCTTCACTTTCTAAAATAATGCTGCAGAATTTCCTGGCTATAAGAATGCAAACAGGCTGTAATATATAATATAGCCATTTTCCCTTGTTAAGAAAATGAAAGAGCTATTACGGTATGGGAGGCATTGTTCAACTTCAGTGAGGAAAGACCCACATTTAGAATTCTGCTTAGTTTAATTTATGTCAATTTAATTTACTTGAGGTGGTTATGAGCTTAAAAAGTGGTGGTGAATGAACCTTGAGCTCCATGAAGGAATGGTGGTCTCTTAAAACTTGCATAAAAATACTTTTTGGAAATTCTTAAGACTTTTGTTTACCTAAGTAGTTTATGGACTATAGATGGGCCTGATAATGTTACCAAAGAACATTCTCATTTGTGTTTGTAAACCATCATGGATAAGCAGAAAGGTGATATATACATCTTTAAAATTGAGAATCTTAAGTGTTGTACCCAGTATTTGATTAACCAGTCCTTATTGCTATTGACATCTGATTGTTACCTCTTCTCTAGAACATGGTAAAGCAGAAAGCTCTGAGGGTGTTAAAACAGAAGCGAATGTAAGTTTGAAACTTCTTTAATCTTTACCTTTAAAACAGAGTACTAATTTGGAGAAAGTTGGAAGAGGGTAATTTCAAATTTTGATTTTGTAGCCAGGTCAGCTTTGTCACCATCCAGCCACTTCCCAAGATTACTGGCTCATGCAGAGAACAGGCTAAGAAGGGTCTCTTCTCCATTTTGCCTATCATTTTCCTTGACTCTAGTCATAGCCAAGTACATTCACTTCTGGCAGTTGCACCATCTTCTGATTGCAGAGAGACATAAAGGTGCACACCAGAGGAGCAGAGAAAGCTACAATGAAGAGAGCAGGGGAAAGAACCAAGTTCCTTGGACGCATAAGGAATATTTCCAGGGAACACTCTGGCATGAAGCTGTCAGCATCATGCAGTGAGTAAATTAGGACAAACTGCTGAGGGTTCACAATAAAGTTAGCATTACCAAGGAGTATGGGCTTCATAGTTAAGACACATATTTGCCCATGCATATGCAGGTGATTACATGGAAACAGGGATGTAATGCTAATGCATACATTGCCCCTGTTTTTTACAACTTGAAAAAAACTATTTTTCCCTTACAGTATGACAGTGAACAAACTTTTAATTAGGATGTGATTTAAAACTTGTTAGAATATCTGGAAGGTCGATAAAGTTGCTACAAGAGCTGTAATTACATTGCAGCTGTCCATTCTTCCCCTAAACCTTTGGACAGGGCTGTAGATGTGCTCTACTGGATATGTAATACTAATCTAGATCTCTGGAATCAATAGATATTACTAGTTTGTGACTTAGGATAGCAGAATGTCTAATGGTTATATGTTTTAAATGTAGGTATGAAAACCAAAGGGATAACCTTGCCCAGCAATCTTTCAATATGGAACAAGCTAATTATACCATCCAGTCTCTGAAAGATACAAAAACAACGGTAATTTTTATTTTCATTTCGGTTTTGAGATATATTTTATATGTGATATAGTGGTTCTAAGAACCTTATCTGGCTACTTTTCTAGGTTGACGCCATGAAATTGGGAGTAAAGGAAATGAAAAAGGCTTATAAACAAGTAAAAATTGATCAGATTGAGGTGAGTTGCAGTGTTTCCTTAAAAAACAACAAACCATAATTACTCAAAAATCTACAATTTGCTTTTAATACTGAACTAAATATTATTTGCTTTTCCTCTTCTTAGTGGCCTATCCTTTCCCTCTTTAGTTTTATGTGAGTCCCAGCAAACACATTGTATAAGTGGTATCTTGAATCAGGCAAACAACATTTTAAATTAAAACTCTTTGAGGGGTATGGACGAGAAAGTACAATGGGCTGGATTCAGATTTTACTTATGCTTTGATTTGACCCATTGACATCTATTGAATTTAAGTCAGTTAAAAATCAGTGATTTTGTATTACATATCAACCAAGTTAATTAACAAAGTATCCAACAAGGCTTTGTTCATTTAAAGCAAACCAATAAGTTCTAATGAATAGTGATGAACGTCCAATTATTAAGTAGACCTACCAAAATTTGGTCTTATATTTTATGATAAACTTCAGGACCTACAAGACCAGTTGGAAGATATGATGGAAGATGCTAGTGAAATTCAGGAAGCACTTGGACGTAGCTATGGAACTCCAGAAATTGATGAAGAAGACTTGGAGGCAGGTAAGTTACCAATTTTACCAGGGCCAGCATTTAATAGGTCCAGGATAGATAACACATACTTAATTCCAGCTGTGCCAGATCTTAATTAAGAAAGCTTAACTGTAGATTAATACAGTCTTACCAAACTTGGTGCCTTCCAGATACTTTGGGCTTCAACTCCCATCAGCCTCAGTCTGCATGAACAATGGTCAGGAGTGCTGGGAATTGTCTCCCAAAGCATCTGGAAAGCACCAGGATGGGGAAGGCTCATATTCTGAGTTAAAGGAAAAAAATATTGATGAGCGGTGATCAGTGGTAGAAATCCAAGATTCACCTTGTCTTGAGCATGAAGAAAACATGAGAGCCACTGTTCTATGCTGGTTAGAATGTTAGACTGGGAACCTGGAAGACCTGGGTTCTAGTCCCCTCTCAGCCATGCAGGTCAGTGAGTTACTTTGTGCCAATTACTCAGACACAGACTAACCCAACTTATAGAGTGGTTGTTATGAGGGTAAAATGGAATGGAGGGGATCGTGTAAGCAGCTTTGGCTTCCTTGCAAGGGGAAAATGGTGGGATATAAATGCAAAGTAAGAAATAATTAAACTCATGCTGCTTTGTTGGATCCAAGCTTGTGGTTTTGTGTGATGTCTGAATGAACAGATGATTCGTTGTTCCACCTTCAGAGGTTGCTGCATCATGGAGATAAGAACACTCCTATGAAGCTTAGTAGATGGGAAACAGAGTGGACTAGTAGCACCCATCATTCTTCTTTACTGGCTATGTTCACTAAGGAGCTGTAGTCCAACAACCTTCAGCAAGCCACACACTCCTCACCCCTGCTCTAAACAGTTTGTTTCCTGTATTTTTGCAGGCTTAACCCCTAGCTTTGGGTTCTAAAGTGCAGGGCTTGCTTTGATATGACCCCTCTATGGAATTTTGTTAGTGAGTGAAACTCATACTAGAAATGCTTGTCACCATGTATTCCAACTTAATGGTTCAAGTAAATGGAGCAGAAGTCTTCTGTTTCTTCCCCTAAATACTTTCTACCCCCTTTTTTATTTTAGCAAGGAAATGTTTGTATGGAATAATGGCTTCTAAATAACAGATATAGCTAACATTAGGAATTGGTGATTCAGTTTTTGTTTTCTCTCCCTATCATTTCCTTCTGTGCTTTTTTATGGTAAGCTCAAAGAAAAGACTTTTTTTATTTATCTCTAAGCCACTCTAGAGGCCTTTTTGGCTAAAGAGTAGGATATAAATTCTTTAAACAGCTGTTAATTATTACAAAGAAATGAGCTGTTATTTTTGGAGAACTAGCATGAGAGCAGGCTAAATATTTTCAGTAACGATAATTTTACAAGTGTTGTACTATTTGCATTTAAATCAGGTATATCATATTTTGGGCAAGTTCATCCAGCATCAGTGTCTGTTGTTAATCAGTATACATTTTTGTCCTAACGTTTTAACAACAATTACAGAATTGGAGGCACTCGGTGATGAACTCCTTGCTGATGAGGATAACTCCTATCTGGACGAAGCTGCATCTGTTCCATCAATTCCAGAGGGTGTGCCAACTGATGCAAAAAACAAAGTGAGTTTCCTTTCCATTCACCCTAACTGTAAGCTGTATATAAACTCAAACATATTTGCAACAGAGCCCCTGTCAAAATCTCAACCACATAGAATACATTATTTTTGTTTATTGCTCTTCCTATTGAGAAAAAGCAAAAGAAAGGTTACTGTTAGTCCCAAACAATGGTTAAGGAAACTCAAATGTGGTTTGGCATGACACCTGAATTTGCAAACCATTGTTTGTCATCACCTCACAGACGGAAACAGTATTCTGGTTTGAAGTGACTTTGCAAATTACACTTTATCACTAACAGTGGTTTGGCATGATAGCTGAATTAACAATATGCAGCTCCAGAGACTGCTGTAACATAAACATGGGAATGAACTTAAAAGTTGAATGCAAAAAGCATGGAAAACACAAATGGCTCAAAACCATGGTTTGCTTACTGTGTATCTGAATTCTGTCTGAATTCTGAACTATGGTAAGTGCAAACCAGGGTTTGATGTGATGCTTGAATTAAGCCCTAAGTTTCCATGTTACTATGTAACATCTAATACTATGTAAATTTCTGCTCAATTATCAAAAAGTGTGTGTGTGTATATAGAGAGAATAACTCTCTGCTCATAAATTCATGTTTCTCTGTTATGACTTTAGTGGGCAAGCAAATATGGTTTGACTCCTCTCATTTTAATTGAAACTAAATAAAAGCTTCCTTTGGATATCTTCAGATTACCATTTTCTTTATGGTATAAGTACTTCTGTTTATTTGCAAAACATTACTTATCTCTTTGTAAAGTAAATGTAATGACATAATCAAGTGTTCAATTATTGCAAGCTTCTTTGAGAGAAAATATTAGCAAAGTGGCTTATTAACTTAAATAAATGGTTTATGAAGTGTGGGTGCACTGTTTGGTACAAGATACAGACATAAAATTAATTTTCACTAATTTTCTATGTGGCATACCACTTAATAGCTTGGGAAAAGAGAAATTACTGCTATTTTTTCCCCTTCTCATAGGATGGTGTACTGGTGGATGAATTTGGACTGCCACAGATCCCTGCAACATAACAAGTTCATTGGAAGCACTGTTTCTCATCTTACAAATTTCTAAACGAAAATATTTGAGGTGGAGGAGATCTTAGTTTTCCAGTACCACTCCATATCACCATGTTATGAAATATGGAGTGAATGATGACTGTTGATTCCTCTCCTTTGAACATATTTTATTACTAGTTTTTCTATTAACAGCAAGATATTGAGACTACTCTTTCATTCACTTGTAGTCATTCAATGTTCCAAGATTTGGCTTCATCAGTGTTGTAGAAGTATTACATTTGGGGCTATTTATAGTTTCTTTTCTTTTTCTGGACAACAATGGGTGGTTGTGATGCTTTATGTTCAAATAACTTTATTGTGCTTGCTTTGATTATGCACATGCTATAGGAATACTTCAATTTTGATTTTATTGCTAATGGACTATATCCAAATGTAGTCATATTTAGATTGCAAATCATTGGAACCTAATTAGTCCATTATTTCAATGGGTCTTCTCTGACTAAATTTGGATCCATCCCTATTTATTTGCTATAGTCATTAGTGTAGTTGTTTAACAAATATATGCAAAGATTACTGTGTATAATCTATTTGACATAAATCATATACCATATAGGGTAGCTTGATCTTTTTGTGTGGTATCTTTCTAACACACAGTTCTTTTTGTCTCTGTTACTAGAAAAGGCCAAACTATAAACTTCTTTATTGATCTTCAGCTAAATTCATAATCCTTTTCATCTCTACATGAGAAACATATGCAATTCAGTTTTGGAATGTCCAGATTCCAGGAAGCACCCCAGTCTTTGTTCTGTTATACTTATGTTTTGGAAAATGTGAATTCCTGGTTAGTAGCTAGTGTTATGGGAGAATACACATAGCTAAAGGAGCTGAAAACTGATTGAATAACCCTTTCCTAGGAAAGTGCTACTATGAGAGCCATCACTTTCTCCAGATACCTCAGTTGGTTGAGATGAGGACACTTGGTATTCCTCAGGTGGTTAGAGTTTGGCCATGGGACCTTGAGTTAAAGGTGGGGAGAAACTCAGTTTACATTTTAATGTAAGCGTAATTTGCATTTCATAACCCAATCAAGCCATGAGCTAAAATACTTAGACTTCAATATTTATATTTGTGATACCTTTTAAATAGAAAATTGTATCTGAAAATGCATATATTGGGGAAAACTGTGCAGAAAAATGCATATATGAAAATACGAACATGCATTCCTATTAGAACTGACTGAAAAATGCATATATTAGGCAACATTATCATTATCGCATTACATTTATATACCACCTTTTATCTGTTGCGAGGATCCCATTGTTTTCATCCTCTCCATTTTTTGGCAATGGCCCTGTGAGGTAAGGTAGGGTGAGACTGAGTAACTGGCCCAGTCACTCAGTGAGTTTCATGGTCAAATGGGAACTAGAACTCAAAGTTCCTGGGTCCCCAGTACTACACTGCAATTGCCACACTATACTTTCTCTCAGACATGCAGGTATTGGGTAAAATGTACAAGGATGCATGCAGATTTATATGTTGGACCTAAAAAATGGCTAAGTGATGCAGAAATAGGAAGAAAATGAATTCCAAGATTAGAAAAATGAGAAGCCAAACTTTACCAATCTGTCCATTTGTTCCTGACACTATTTGACATTGGTAGTTAGCACCATACTTATAAACAAGTATTATCTTCCACTCTAAGCATGCATATTTTGAAATTTTATATTAGAATTAAAAAGTCACATTAAGATTGAAGTGTAAGAAAACAATAGAACAAGCTGTTAAGACTTGCTCTTTAATTCAGTGGCTTCATTTCTCTGGTTTATATTGAACCAGATATGCTTTGTGTGGTAGGACAGTGGTGCATACTCTTACTTTCTTAGTAGGTTTCTGCTGCCACCTTCCTTTTTCCTGTAACTATGGCTAGAACAAAAATCCAGAGCTTCAACACAATGATTTGCCTTGTTAAAGTCAGTGACCAGCTGGAGTAGAGGTAGGCAACCTGGTGTCCTCTAATAGTTCTGGACTACAAATTCCAAAATGCATGACCTTTGTTCATGTTGATTGTAGCTATGGTAGTTCTAGTTCAACCGATCTGGAGGGTAACAGGTTGCATAGCCCTGAAACTTTTTTGTCTCGGCAGACAAGGGCAGCTTGGTTTCCTCTTATCACCCAGTAGGTAAAACTAGGTAGCTTCCAGCAGTTTAGGCTAGTGGAGTTGGGTGGTACGAGTAAAACCTTTCCTTGGGTTTAGACCAATAAGTCTAACCATATCTAAATTAAGTGGACAGGTTTTATTAGAAATCAAAAATGAAGGCAAGAGCAACTTTACCATCTATGCTAAGATTCTTAGAAGAAAATGCCCATATGCAAAGCACAGAGGACTCACCTGGATGGATTCAGCACCCAGCACTCTTCTCATGGACACAGGAGATCTCAGAACCATCTTTCATAGTAAGTGTTGCCATGGCAGTCAGGGATGACTGACAAATGTGTCCATCAGCAGATGGGTTGGATAAATATCACCGTTTGGAGACAGGAGATGTGGCTAAGAAAGGTCCTAAAAGATTGCTCTGCACATTCCTGGCAGATATGACATATTAAAGGAGCTCTCCATTTATGCATTTGGTGGTATTGTAAAGTGTGAGTCTGTCACCTCGGAGGAATGGGCATTAGCTATATAGGATGGGGTGTATGATGAAGAGACAGGCCTGTGCCACAGGCGTGATTTGCCTAACATGCTTTTATTTATCATTTACTAGCTTTCTTGCCAGGTAAAATGGGTGTGTGTATGGGGGAGGGGGGGAGCCAGAAATAAATTTAACATGTAGTTAAGACATGTTGCTTCCTTGACTTCAGAAGTACAAGGCTGGGAAAGATAAGGCTGTATTCTTAAAACATCTACTCTGCAATCCTAAGCACCTGCTTGCAAGCAGGTCTCACTGAGCTCAGTGAAATACATAGTGTCCACATTAAGATTTAAGCCTTAATTTAAAAATTAATATTTAATCTCAGTGTCTTAAAATACTTACTTTCTTTGCACCTAAATTGTACCACTGGTTCTAATAAACTTTTAACAGCAACAGAGGCAGATTAAGGTGTATAAATCTTTTGTAACTTACTTGTAAATATATTGATAGTTAATAAAATACTGATTGTTTACTGAGACCACAGGCCTTGAAAGTCCCTGTTGACTACTCAGATCAGCTGTCTTTAACTGAGATTCAAGTGGCAGCTTAATGAGACTTTCTCAGCCTGGTGTAGATACACAGCCATGTGTAGATACATGGTGACATTGGCTTAAGTGAAATTTCAGAGGGGGAGGAGTTGGGGCCAGTTTGTGCTTGCCCCAAATTATGCTGTGTACTCACCCCTTTTAATGAGCCACCGGTAAAACACACCAGATTTAAGTTGAAACCATGGGTTGCAAATCTATTTCAACCCTGGCTTTAAAAAGGCACTATCATGGCAATAGTGAAGTTAGGTAATTATGCACTCTGGGCTTGTGGTTCAATGGGAAGTACCCATATGTTTCATTGATCTTGATAATACTTCTGACATATGAGCCATATTGGATTAACCCAGGTCCATTTATTCCCACAGTAGTCAAACAGATGCTTGTGGGAAACCTACAAGCAGGACAGCGCAGCAGTACTATTCTACCCATGTTCCCAATTAGCTCGTGTACTGCTTCTGATACTGGAAGCCAACATTTCTAGTAGCCTAATCTTTCATGAATTTGTCCAGTCCTCTTTTAAAACCATCCAAATTGGTGTCATTTCTTGTGGAAGTGAATTCCATGGTTTAACCGCATGTTCTGTAAAGAAACACTTTCGGGAAGGATCCTCCAAAAGTATAGTCTCAGCTATTCAGTGGTATAAAAAATAATTAAATATTAGACTACAGCTCCCAGCAACCTCCTCAGCCTGCCACAGGCCTGCTGGGAATTGCAATCTAAAACATCCAGAGGGCACCAAGTTGGGGAAGGGTGAGTGAGCGATTCATACATTTAGGCTGTACACACTTCCCAAGGAGCGAACGCTCCACTGAATGAAATGGGCTCACTTTGGATTATACCAGGGACGCGTTATCTTCCGAGAGTGACTTGCTGCTCTCCCGCCCACTGTGGCAGCAACAGCAGGTTCGGAGCCGCCTGCTCTTCCCACTCTCTTCCCACGGGCCCCAGGCAGTTTCCGGCCCGGGAGGAAGCGCCACTGCCGGGCAGCAGGCGGACTCGGCGGGAGCTCCTCCTCTGAGCGAGGAGAGGCAAGGCGCAAGCGGGGATGGCAGTGCCCGGTGAGAGCTCGGCCTTGACGGTGACGGTTACCTACGGTAGGCGCAGGAGGGTACTGGGCGCGCTGGGCCGTGGGCGGGAGGATGGGCGGGGAGGGACTCAGGCAGGCTGGACCAAAGGTCTTCGCCGGGGCCGAGGGTAGTCATCCGAGGCGCTGCTTCGGCTCGCAGATGAGGGCGCGCCGGTTCTGCATCCGTCAGAGGCATGTGCTCGATGATCCCACGCTTGAGGCTTCTGCCTGATCCCTAGTGCCTCTTTTCCTTGCTCAGATGAAGCTCTAGCCCTCGCTGCTGCTTTATTATTAGTACCGCATCCGTTTCTTCGCCTTCCTCTCTGGGTTCCTCCCTCGTCTCACTGGAGCAGTCAGGCTGTATGTGCCCGATTGAGGGAGGAGCGGAGCCAACCAAATGTAAGACACCCAGCGTTGCCTGAGCCAAGATGTCCGTTGCTTTTCAGTACCCGAGCTTTTTCCTGGCACAGATAGCGCTGGAGTGCCTCTGAGCGTGTTTGGAGTAAGAGTTAGTGCAATGGCTAGATCGTTGATTATCTCCATGTCACGAAAAGCGTTAGCTGTGAAATTCTAGAATTAATTCATGATCTAAACGTTACCCTTCAACTAACAGAGGTCAAGGCCTGTAAAACGCACAACATAAAGTAAGTCTTAGGGTAAAAAATGCTGGGAAAAATTGAAAATAACACATGAGAACTATAATTAATGATGATACGTGTTATGACCAAAATCCACAATGTCCTGGTTCACATTTCCAAATGCAGACCTGCTTACCCATGGTTAAAGGTTAAAAGATTAAAGGTTTCCCCCTGACATTAAAGTCCAGTTATGTCTGACTCTTGGGGGCGGTGCTCATCTCTGTTTCCTAGCCAAAGGAGCCAGTGTTTGTCTGCAGACAGTTTCTGTGGTCATGTGGCCAACATGACTAACACCGAAGTGCACGGAACATTGTTACCTTCCCACCGAAGTGGTACCTTTTTATCTGCTTGCATTTGTATGTTTTTGAACTGCAAGGTTGGCAGGAGCTGGGAAAGAGTAAGGAAGCTTACCCCATCTGCAGATTCGAACTGTTGACCTTTCGGTCAACCAGCCATGCCACTGCATCTCTTTACCTATGGTAGCTTTTGTTTTAAAGTGGCATGTCATGTCATCCAAACCAATCCCACCGTGGGTAATGTCCAGTGAGACATTCTGCAAAAGTGCAAGACCCCTTTTTTACTCTTTCGGAACTCAGCCTGGCTGCAGCTGGCACCAGTCACCCCACAAGTGCCCAAGCAGCACTTGTAGATAGCTAGCCCTGGCTTGCTGCCTTTCCTTTCTAGATCAAGGCCTGTTTCATCCCCTGTGGCATTTATGCATTTAAAACTTACCCCCTCCCCACCCCAAATATCACAAGAGGCAGCCTTTCTCAGTCCTCATTTTCTCAGCCACTGACAGCCACTTCAAAGCGCTCAGGTCCTCAGAGAAAAAGTGTATCATCTTTTTTCCCTGGGAAAAAAGAGCTTTGACAGCTAGTTGTCAAAACTTTCAGTCCCTTCAAAAAGGAGTTTCGACAAGGCAATGGGAGTTTGTGGACCCATATTTGGATCAACATCCAGGGTTGGTACTTGTACTTTTGCAACAGGCACTCTACCACACACAGCATTGCCTAACTGAGGCTCCTGATTTCCCCTCTTGTACAGCTGTAGCTACATCACTTTTTAAATTGCAAATGTTTGTGAAAATAAGGAATTTTTTTAAAAGTTTGCCAGCCAGATACTCAGGCACTTTGAAGCTGTTGGAACAGCAATTATAGCTAGGTACCTTTTGGGATCTCTGAGGGGCAAATGTTTAAACTGCATAATTGCATGGAGAGCCACAGTGACTTTCAGTTGTGGCAGGGAAGGAGAGAAGACTGGGTTCTGCCAGTGTCCAGTGGGATACTTCCTAGAGAAGCAGTGGGGAAGAAGTAAACATATGGTTAGCCCAACTGCTGTTTGGGCTCACCATGGATTGCTTGCAGAGCTACCAGTCCACCTTGGTTAATCGTCAAGGAGGTGAAGTGTTGTACTATGCAAATGTGGCCAGTGAGATTGGATGAGTAGCAATAACCTGGCTAATTTCAGTAAGTTCATAGTGTATGAACATAGTGTACCTGGGCCACGATGTGAGGTAGACAAGTTCTGTCAACCCCTCTCCAAAATCAATGTTCTGAAAATAAAGTTGTTCTGTTTTATGTGGCCTTTTAGATCTGCATTGAGGCCCTTCTGAGGGAGCACCCTCCTCAGGAAATAAGGACAGTGGCAACAAGAAGAGGGACCTATTCAGGAGTGGCACCCTGACTTTTGATTGAGCTCCCCAGAGAGTTTGCCTGGCACCATCTTTATACTCTTTTTGGCATCAGGCAAAGACCTTTGTATTCTGCTGGTATTTTAATTGTTAAATAGGATTTTAATGGTATTTTAATAGAAGGAGATATGTCTTTTATGAAATCAGGAGTTCTGGTGGGTGCACTTTTATAGTCGTTAATTTTTTAAATTGATTGCAGTGTTTTAATACTGTTTTATATTGTTTTTATATGGTTTCTATTGTTATAACCCGCCTAAGGAGCTGTGTGGCTGATGGGGCAGGCTAGAATTTAATAGTATGTGATGAGAATCTTTTCCGTTGGTCTGCATTCAGTTTGAACTGCTCCCAAAGAGACACTTACAATGCTGTAAATCGATTTAAATTGCTAGTCAGTAAGACTAGATTTAAATCATGATTTTCTGCATAATATGTACATGAGCCTGCCTTACCTGTAGGTAGAGGATCTTCATTAAAATATTCTCAAACTGGGCCTCTTTTATGGCCTGCTGCCAGTATAGGCTTTCTTCTCCAAGGAAATAATTATATGATAAACCCTAGGCTATACACAAGAAGTTCAAAGGTTTTGTGGAATATTCTGCTCCAAAAGATTCACTTTCAGTTTTACTGTTTGCTCCTCCCTCCTCTTGCTTAGCTTCTTATGCAGATCTATTCCATTCTCAACTATCTTATTGTGTCCCATGATTTTTTTTTGAAATGTAACACTTATGAGGTAAGGGATTGTTTCTGAGAAGATAGATTTGCAAAGGAGTAATGGGATTAGGGTCCTTTTCTCAACTCTGTATGTTTACTTTATAACATTTATGCTGTGAAGAAGAGGCACGTGTTCTCTGAAGGCAGAAATTCACAGTTTTGAGACATGTAAAACCAAGCATTTGTGATAATATCTTCTACATAGAAAAATTACCCAATGATCTTACAGAAATCTCTGGAAGAGCATGACATTGTGAATGGATTAATGGAATTCATTTACCAACAAAAGTAAACATTGCATGAATAAACAGCCTCATGCTACATCATTAAAAACTAATTCTTATTCCATGATGAATAACCTTTGGACTATAATGTTTCTTAAATAGAAAACTATCTTTAGATACATTTTTCCTCAAAAATTTATTTAACAAATCCAATTTAAAAAAACTGATTTAAATTTAAAAATCCAGTTTTTATTTTTTTGAACACCATTGATTTTTATCCATTCTGGAATATTGTCCCATTGCAGTGATCATATGTTCCTAAACTTGGAGCCTAACACTCATCATAGGTAGGATGAAGGAGTAGTGGAGATGATCTAGTGATATAGTTTTGGAGAGGGAGGGAAGAAGGCTGGGGAGTCTCAAAGATAGCTTCTACCTTGGTTTTTCCAGTTTCCTCCCCTCTCTGCTTGCCCAAACGCCGCTTTTTTCCTACCTTCCTAGTCATGTTCCTGACTGGTGGCTTCCAGGGGGAAGAGGATGGAGCTCTGATTTCAAGCTCTGAGAATGGAATACAGTGGTACCTTGGCTCACAAACTTAATCCGTTCCAGGACTCTGGTCATGAGCCAAATTGGTCGTGAGCCAAATCAAATTTCCCCATAAGGTTCAATGTGAATAAGGTGAATCCGTTCTGTAACCATTTTTTAAATCAGAAAAATGTGAAGCAAAGTGACAACAAAGATCTCGGCCATCTTCCCCCCCTCCATCCCAAGTACAAGCGTGGCCATCTCTCCACCCCCCTCCAGCATGACTGAGATCGTGCCTGTCATCCCTGCACGCGTCCGTCATCCCGGCGCACTGGGGGGTGGGAGGGAGAGACGGGTGCGATTGCAGGCACACTGGGGGAGGGAGAGATGGGTGCAAACGGTGCGCTGGGGGTGGGGAGATGGCCTCGATTGCAGTTCCATTCATGCAGGGAAGGTGTGCCAGATCAGAGGCGCGGTCCTCCAGGAAAGACAGGCAGAATCTCAGCCATCTCCCTCGCGGCTCTTCTTTGCTGCTCCTGTCTTTCTTGTAGCAGCCTCTGATCATGGATGCTTTCCCTGCATGAAAGCAACTGCAATCCGTGATCAGAGGAGCGCTGTTGCACTTAAGACGGGTGCAGCAAAGCAGAGCTGCGAATCCGCTCGTCATTCGTGCAGCCGCACACCTCTGATCACGGACGCCTTCCCTGCACGAATGGAACTGTGATCATGGCCATCTCCCCACCGAGGGGGTAGGGGAAGATGGCTACAATCTTGGTCGCCACCCAAAGTGGTGTTCGTGACCCAAGTAAAAATGTTTCAGTAATTTTTGTTCGTGACCTGATTTTTTTGTGAGCCAAGGCGTTTGTGAGCTGAGGTACCACTGTACTATCCCTGAACTTGGATCTTGAAATCTGAAATATCCTTAGGCCCTCAGATGCTAGGAACCGTAGGATTCCTTCCTTGTAGGTGAAGCTTTCTCCACTGCTTTTGTTTCAGGGAAAATGCCAGATGCTAAATTTCTGATTGTCAGACTGCTATTAGCAGCACAAGATTAGGGCAATTTAAAAAGGTAGTGACCCTAAAGCAGGCCGAAGTTCATGCTGCCTGAATATATTTTCATCATGGTTCTTTTCAGGTAATGAAAAACATAGCCTTCAAGTTGCTTCTCAAGAAGAAGATAGTCAGCCAACAGTACGTGATATGGCTCTCTTAATTGAACAAGTAACTGGAGTTCCAGTTTCTTTTCAGAAACTGATACATAAAGGTAAATAACATTCTGATGCCTGCAATAGAGTCCTGTGTATGTCTACAAAGAAGCAAGTCCCATTGAGTTCAGTGGGGCTTACTCCCAGTAAGACTGCAGCCTGTTTCTACATTTCATTTTCAATCACAATATAGCTTGGGTGAGGCTTTATATGTTCTGAACAGTTATAATATTTAGAGCATTTCTCAAAAGTCCATCCTAGGAATAGATAATAAAATTAAAAACTCCATAATGGAGCAGTTTTTAAAAATTGCATGACAAGTTATGTGTGAGAGAGATAACAACTAACTTTGAACTTTTTTCAGAAGTATTTCATAATATTTATGAGTGTAATCAGGCCGGCACAACTTTTGTCTACCAAACATGTATTGTGGCTTACTGCATATTTAACACCCTCTTTTTACAGTTCTAGCAGATAGCAAATGCAGGAGATGAGAGCCCCTAGTGCAGTGATGGTGAACCTATGGCACATGTGCCACAGCAGGCGGGCAGAGACCTCTCTGTTGATATATGAGCCAAGTTGCCCCGGCATCACCCCGACAGCCATGCACATATTCAGAAAGAGTAAGGCGCCAGGTGACGGCGTCATTCATTCGCTGCGACTTGCTGCAGAAGGCAGCATCGAATAGGTCCCTGCCAGAGGCAGGCACAACAGCTGTGGCGGGTGCACCAAGCGCTGGTGATGACGCCCTCCTTCTGCCTCTCCTCCTCCTGGCCTGCAGCATGTGAGCAGCTGCCCCAGCCACCCTCCTGGTGCAGTGGTGAGACCCTGCTAACTCAGTAGCCACAGGTGCAGCCAGACAGCCCTGTGCCCACTTGCCTGCGCATCTGCTCCCGCACTGGGCTTCCAAGCTGGTGGTCACGGGGTGGGGGGAGCTGGGTAAAGGGAGCATGCGACAGGGTCGAGGCAGCAGAGCAGCAGCAGTAGCTGGAGTGAGGAGTAGGAGAGAGAGGGCGCCTGGGATTGATATGGCGCTTCCTGGGGAGGGAGGCCAAAACGAGGAAAAGTGGAGGCTGGAACTGCTACAAAGTGAGAGGAGTGCGCACGTGGCAGGGACCCCCCTTCCCACCCGACCTCACTCGCCAAGGCTTGGCAGTGCCATGGCGCCTTGAGGAAGATCCCAACAGAAGCATGGAAGGGATCAGTGACAGCCTCTCCTTTCCTTTAGTTTAGGTCTCTCTACCCCACATTCCACCCCACTGGTAAACTTTCAAGCACCACCGAAGCTCCTGTGGCATTCCCAGTGGCAGGTTTGGGGGCGAGGAGGGAGTGAGTGAGTGCATGCGCCCAGCACAAGCAAGCCCAGTGTCTCCCGATTTGGGAGTGCTGAACGTGAACATGGCTCCTTCTCTCTGTTATTGTGTTTTTCTTTTAAGACAAAAGATGTTAATGTATGAGGTTTTTTTTCTAAACTAAAACCTCAGTATTCAGGTCTTATTGCAGTATTGGCACTTTGTGATAAATAAGTGGGTTCTGGGTTGCAGTTTGGGTACTCAGTCTCTAAAAGGTTCGCCATCACTGCCCTAGTGGTAGCCATAGTGATTGGTAGCTTTTTTTTTAATGTAATGGGTCGTATTATACAGGCATTTTAATGTTTTACATGCATTATACATATGGTTTGAAAATAAGCGTAGGCATTATTCCTTTTATATTAGTCCTTGAGGTTTTCCCTATTATTTTAACATACCAGGAATCTATGCAATAAATATAACTAGTTCTTACCAGTTGTTGGAAAAGTAAAGACTAAATAAGTCTTCAAAACTGCCTGTATCAAAGAATGCTGCAAACCATTTCAACTGATTTCATGTGCTGTTTGTATTTAATTATTGTGAAGTCATACTGGGCAATTCTTTGCTTTTAAATATAGCACAGCCAAGAGATAGGTGTCACAGCCCCCTCTGCTTCAGTGTCACTGCAAGCTTGGGCAGCCAGGCAACTGAGTGGTAAGAGAGACTGAAGGTATCTTAGAAAGTGAATGATGAGAGCTGTGAGCGACAGCTTCATATAAACATGTGTGTTTAGAATGTAGATGATAGGAAAGCTATTTCACTCATTATTTTTTGATCAAATTGAAGCTTTACTGATTCTTTGAATCAGTTCACATTGAAATTTCCAAAACAAATGTGTGGATTTGTTTGTGTTTCCCTCCTAGGGAAGTCCCTGAAAGAAATGAACCAGCCATTGTCTACATTTGGAGTGAAAAATGGTTGCAAAGTCATGCTGATTGGGAAAAGGGTAACTTTGATTGTTATGAATGGTATTGAATGGTACAACAGATTATCATTGATCTCAGCTGTATATATGGTGGAGTCACCAGACATGATTCCCTTTGGAACGAGATAGGGCATCTACTTGCTCACTTCTTAAGCTCAGAGCACTTTCCCCTCATTCTTCATTCAAACTGAATTGGTAATAGGAAAAAAAGCCAATATAATTATATTTTCTTCCCTGTACTTTTCCTTTAAATGCAGTTGAGGGAGATGAGTTGTCCCTAGCTTAAAATAATGAGAAAGTAGCAGGTGACCTCTCTTTATGCAGCTGCACAATATATTGGGGGTTGCCTTACATTATGAGAAAGGTGGTGAATAATGAAGATGTAGTTTATAATATATAAACCCTAGTGGGTCATTAAAAGATCTTGAAAAGCAGATTGCACAAACAAAAGAACTGCTCTGGATTTAAGATCACTTTTAATGTAACACTTCTTCACTAGTTCAGGAACAGTCCTTCTTTGAGTGGAAAAGTCTTTCTGCTATTGACAGAACCCCTTTGAATTGAATGTATGGCTTTTGTTTTCACTTGTACTTGTATTTCTAACTCCCCATTTATTTTAGTTTTGTGTGTTACCTTTTCTGTCATCTGATCTATTGGGTTTTTTTCTTTTTATATCATTTCCCCTGCTTTTATTGTTAAAAATGTATCAATCAGCTGTCTAATAATCATATACAAAACAACATAAATTTTCTTAAAATAGTAAAACAATGTCAATTAATTAAGCTTTTTCTTTTTTTACTGCTTCTGTTCATACTTGATTTGAAATATTTCTGTTGTTCAAAGCTCTTGTGCAATTTGTGTTTCTGATAATCTCTCCTTTCTCCCATTGAAAAGAACCCAAAGCTGTATAGATCTACAAAGCTGTATAGATCCCTTCCTTTTCCTGAAGAGGAAGCCCTCCATCCAACTATGTAGTCTAAAATATAATCATACCACACATTGAGCCATTCTGTGAATAGGTTATACAATGTGGATTGATAATGGAGCACTTAACAGACAGTGGGGCTCACCATGGCTTGTTCTCCCTCTAGATCACCCTCAGTCATCTAGCTGGTATCTCAGTGTACAGTTCCTAGCTGAAAAGTAAAGGAGAAAAATGGTGAAAGTAGGTATACCAAAAGGGGTAGGGTCAATATCCCTCAGCAATGTGACCCTGTTCAACTGATAGTTCTCATTCTACTCTACCATCTTAACACATCCCTGATTTTCCAGCTACTGTGGAAAGTGGAGTTAGTAACTCCTCTCTCTTTTTTCAGAGCACATACTGCGGCACACTTTTTGAACTGCTGCATTGATGCAGGTGTATAATTTTCACCTCTATTCATTACTGTACCCTTGAATTGATGTAAATATTCCCCCCTTTACTTCCCTGCTATTAAACTTGCTTATAGTTCTCAGTGCAAAATAACACACAAATATTCCCAACAGTTTTAAAATTCAGCACAACATTTAGAGGTGACAGAACAGGGCATAACAAATGGGGCACCAGTGGAACTTATACCTATTCCTCCAATGGGGTACCATTCAAGTACATGTTCAGAATTTTTTCAGAACTGTCTGGGATCTGTAGTAACTGCAGCAGTAAGTGCTCTGAAAATGTCTGTTAAATGTCTAGTAGCATTCTAAGGGGGAAAACAGTGGTGGTTATCTGAAATTTGAATAGGGACTTAAGTGCCTTTATACCTAGTTATATTACTATTCTATTATACTTTAAGATTTATAAGAAGTAAGATTGAATTAATCTTTCATCTGTAAACTGATTTTGATTTTTGATCTTAATAATGAGTCTCCCTAAGCTTTACAAGAGCTCTAAAAAGCCTACTACTTCATCTTCTGCCCTCTCTTTGGGACCCTCCAGCCTGGTTCATCAACAAAAACTACTGGATGTGATGATCCAACAAGATAAATTCAACAACTTCCAAAAAGAGCTACAACCAACACTCTTAGCAATCCAAGGATCCATTCAAAAACAAAATGAGAAACTGGAGAAAATGGCTTCAGAACAAAATGAGAAATTGGAGAAAATGGATAGTCATATAACTGCTAAAATGCTCAATTTGTGGACATCCAACATAAAACAACATAGAATGAACAAAAAATACAAGAGGTGGAAAATAGGACTGATACTATTGTCAAGAAGACAAGAGATAAATAAAGAGGTACAACATCTGACGCAAGTGAATAAGACATTATGGGACTCAGTTGCTACATTGGAAATGGAGAAGGCTTCTAACTATTTGAGACTGCAGAACATACCAGAGACAAAAAATGAAGACTTAAATGAGTTAATAATGACAATGCTAGCAGAAGCTGTCTACATGGAGAAGGAAGAAGTGGAGAGAGAAGTTGACTTGGTTTATAGAGTAAATTCGAGCTATGTGAGAAGACACAGACTCCCTAGAGAAGTTCATATCAAATTTACAAAAAGATCAATAAGAGATGACATACTCAGGAGAATGAGGGAACAACCATTGCAATATGGAGAAAACCAGATAGTGGCTTTGAAACAGATCCCATGGAGAATCAGAGAAGGACAGAAGAAATACCAATTCCTTACCTCAAAGTTGACAACAAAAGGAATTATGTTTAGATGGCTGGTGCCAGAAGGGATACTTTTCAACTGGAATTCTAGAAGATTTAGTCTGGATACAATTCTTAAGGTGCAAGAATTTTATGAAAACTTCAGGAGCTCTTTTGAAGATGGAGAACTGACAGAAAAGAAAGAGAAAAAGAAAAACAGAGAGGCGGAGACAGCAACTGCCCATCTTTTAAGTGAAGAAGAAACAGAAACATCAGAACAACAAAGAGAAGAACAACCAATAGAGCAAAGAAAAAAGAGGAAAGCTAGAAAGGTGAAGCTCAAATATAAATAAATATGAATATTATATAAACATGAATATTAAAATGGAGGGAAAATTGAAATGCTTTCAGTAAATATAAATGGATTAAATTCTTCTTGTAAGCGGAAAAGAATATTTTCATAGCTCCAAACACTGAAGATAGACATAATTAGTCTACAAGAAACACATATAAAAAACCAAAATAACCAATTTTGGAATTCTCAAAACTTGGTAAGGTATTCATATCTTCAGCTTAGCAAAAGAAAAGGGGACTGGCTCTATATATAAGAAAACTTGGACCCTAAACACATATTTTCAGATGAAGATGGTAGAATTCTAATGGTTGAGGTAACGATAAAACAAAAGAAGACTTTTTTGGTGGCAGTATATGCACCTAACGACCAACAGGAAATCTTTTACCAAAAATTACGTACAGTAGTCATACAAGTTGATTACCAAAGTATTTGCTTAATGGGAGCTTTTAATGCAATTGTAGATTAAAAATGGATTATAAGAGTAGTAGTAAAGGAAAGAGATACTGAAGATGAAACTCAAATACTTCGGCCACCTAATGAGAAGGAAGGTCTCCTTGGAGAAGAGCCTAATGCTGGGAACAATAGATGGCAAAAGAAGAAGGGGATGGCAGAGGATGAGGTGGCTAGATGGAGTCACTGAAGCAGTTGGTGTGAGCTTAAGTGGACTCCGGGAGATGGTGGAGGACAGGAAGGCCTGGAGGAATGTTGTCCATGTGGTTGCGATGGGTCAGACACGACTTCGCAACTAACAACAACAAAGGAAAGAGAGGAAGAAGAATACTTCCAAAATCCTTCTTTAAACTAACAGAGGAATTTAGACTTAAAGATGCTTAGAGATACAAAAATACATCTACAACTAAATATACTTTTTAAATAGACACAGGTCATGGTCCAGAATTGATATGGTGTGGATGGCCCTAGATCTAATTGTGGATCTGCTAGAAGTTGAAATAGGCCCTAATGTATGGGCTGACCATAATCCTATAACTATGACTTGGAAAGGAACATGAAAATTGCCTAGATGAACAGTAATTAAATATACATTGAAAGACAAAAATTTCAAAAAAGAAATAACAAGGGAAATGGAGTTTTTCTTTCAGGAGAACAAAATAGAAGAAACTTCCCTACAAAACGTTTGGGATACTGCTAAAGCATATGTTAGAAGATTGATTATAACTTATCCAGCAAAAATAAATAAAAGGAAAAAACAAGAACAAGTTAAATTAGCAGATGAACTGAAGAAGCTGGAATCTGAATTACAAAAGGATCCAATAAAGAAAGACCTTAAGATGCAGATGAATATTTTAAAACATAAATTGAATCGATTAGAAACAAATGGACTAGCTAAACAAGTCAAAATGGCTAAACAATTTTTTTGAAAATGCAAATAAACCTGGAAGATGGTTAGCATATAAATTAAAGAAAGAAAGAGAAAAGAGGTCATTCTTTAAGTTGAAAAATGGAAAAGAACAACTACAAGTACAAAGTGTTCTAATAAAATAATTAAAGATTTCTTTGCAAAACTATACGAAGCTAAAGAAGTACCAGTTAAGAAGACTGATGAATACATTCAAAACGAAAATCTACCTAAGCTTCCAGAGAACCTCAGAAAGGTACTAAATGAGGAAATAACAAGGACGGGAATAAGCAAAGTGATTAAGAGACAGAAAAATGATAAAACACCTGGTCCAGATGGATTACCAGCGGAGTATTATAAGTGCTTTGAAGAAATCTTAAGTGGGGGAATAGGCCTCCCCCTCCGTGGGGCTCTGTTATCTGAGTTGATGCCTATTCCTAGCGTTTCCTTTAAAGGCTCGATTTTAGAAAGTAGCAAGAATCTCACCCAGTATGTCTGAAGTCCAGTTAAAAGCTTTTCTTTCTCTTCGATGTTTTGGCTGGAGCCAATGGCTAGGAAGGGAGTAAACCCCCTCTCATTCCGTTCACCATGGAAACACGGGCTTCCCTAGCAGATAAGGGGGGCCACTGCCTTCAAAATCTAGCCGCAGATAATCCCCGTACCTCTCACAACTCTTCGTGCCATGATTCGGGCTTCCTCGAGCCCCTGGTGAAAGGATTTTCAGTGTGAAGCACAGAGCTCCGGTCTTCGCTGCTGATCTTGCCTCAATAATGCCGAAAATTCTTAGTAGAATTTATATACTCAGACCAAAATAGTTTTCTACCCAAGAGACAAATTAGAGACAATGTGAGGATCATTCTGGATATCCTAGAGTACTATGAAATACATTCTGAAAAGTAAATGACATTATTGTTTTTAGATGCACAAAAAGCATTTGATAATGTCAATTGGCAATTTATGATTCAGCAACTAAAACAGATGGAATTTGGAGAAAAAATTATAAATGCAATAACAAACATCTACCAAAAACAAACTGCAGGAATAATAGACAATGGAGAACTTACAGAGACTATCAGTATTCAGAAAGGTACAAAACAAAGATTTCCTGTATCACCATTGCTATTTATACTGACTTTAGAGATTCTTAACAGAAATATTAGAAAAGATATGGATATTAAAGGAGCTAAAATTAAAGATGAAAGTTATAAACTTCAAGCCTTCGCAGATATAGTCTTTATTCTGGAGGACCCTTTGGAAATGGTGCCTAAATTACTAAAAAAATAAATGAATAAAATATAGAGGGCTATGGAGAAGTTACTGGGATGAAAATAAATAGAGAAAAGACTAAACTGTTAGTTAAAAATCTTACAGCTGAACTAAAAACAGTCTTGACAGAACAAGTAGATCTCCAGATAGTCAAAAAGTTTAAATATTTGGGAATCTTTGTAACAGCTAGATGTGCTACATTGAAAGAAGACAACTATATTAAATTGTTTTAAGAGATTAAAAAATTGACTGAGTTACAGCTATCACTGTGTGGAAGAATAGCCATAGTAAAAATGAACATATTACCAAAGCTTTTATTTTTATGTAAAACAATTCCAATAAAAATGGAGAAAAAGTTCTTTGAAGATCTGAATACACGAATGTTGAGATTTATATGGCAAAAGGAAAGACCAAGAATTAAATTAAAAATGCTACAGGAGACTAAAGGAAATGGGGGCTTTGGTCTTCCAGAATGGATGTTGTATTGTCAAGCGTGTGTTTTAATGGGGTTAAAAGAATGGATAACTTTAAGAAACAAAAGAATATTATATCTTGAAGGACATGATTTGCAAATGGGGTGGCATGCATTTCTGTGGTATGAGAAATGTAAAACTCATGGATATTTTCAAAATACTATATTAGAAATTCATTGATTTTGGTTTGGGAAAAATTAAAGACAAAACTTTATAGTAAGATACCTAGATAGCTTTCGCCTATGGAAGCTTTTCTATATCCTAATGTATTGAACTTTAGTAAGATTGTGACTTACAATGATATTCTGGATAGTGAAGGAAGATTGAAACCAAACCAAGAATTACAAGAACAGGACATTGAGCTATTATGGTGGCTTCAAACGCAAATATAATCAAGGCATACTAAAGATTATAAAATGCATGGATTTTATAAAAACAGACAATGTTTTATCAAATAATGTTAAGATCAGATGAAAAAATAATTAAAAGACTGTATAGCTTCCTTCTAGATATGAAAATGGAAGATGAACAAGTAAAGGAAACAATGATATCATGGGCACAAAACTTTGGATATAATATTGAGTTGCAGAAATGGCAAAAGTTCTGGGAAAGAAATATTAAACATAGAAACATAGAAACAGAGTGAGTAAGAAGGGGCTTCCCGGGCCATCTAGTCTGACCCCCGGCTCCAGCTGGCTCCGATCACGACATGCCCACCATGTGCATGTCCAGCCTGTCTTTGAACACCCTCACTGATGCGGCCTCAACGACCTCCCGTGGAAGCCCATTCCATACCCTTGCGGTCCTAACTGTCAGGAAGTGCTTTCTGGCATCCAAATGGAACCTTGGTTCCCTGAGCTTTGCTCTGTTGGAGCGCGTCCTGCCTTCCTGTGCAGGGGAGAACAGGTCTCTACCCATCTCCGTATGACATCCCCTCACATACTTGTATGTCGCCAACAGATCCCCTCTGAGTCTCCTCTTCTCCAGGCTGAAGAGACCCAGTTCCATCAGTCTCACCTCATACCCCATCCCCTGCAAACCAGCCACCAACCTTGTGGCCCTACGCTGCACTGACTAAACTGGCTATATCCTTCCTGTAATGAGGGACCCAAAACTGAGCACAATACTCCAGTTGTGGGCGCACCAGAGTCATATAGATTGGTAGTAATACCTCTCTCAATCTAGAAGCCACACTTCTGGCTATTCAACGAAGGGTGGCGTTCGCCCTCTTGACCACCGCATCATACTGCAGATGTTTAACCTGCAGTCAACCAGCACCCTGCGGTCCCCTTCACAAGTGCTGCTCTCCAGCCACTTGTCTCCTAACCTTTACTTATGACACCTATTTCTATGCTCCAAGTGCAAAACCTTGCACTTATCCATATTGAATGCCATACTATTGTCTCCTGCCCACTTCCATAGTCTGTCCAGATCCTTTTGGATCTGGAGTACCTGCTCCTCAGTTGTGGCCACTGCTCCAGTTTTACAAGTAGTATCGTCTGCAAATTTGATCAGCAGACTGTTCACCCCTTCTTTCATGTTGTTGATAAAAAAATTAAACAGGATCAGCCCCAGGAATGAGCCCTGGGGGACCCTGCTTGTCACTGGCCGCCATCCTGATGATTGCCCACTAATGGTTATCCTCTGCTTTCGGTCAGTCAACCATGCCCTAATCTACCAGACAGTGCTTTGGTCGATCCCAAAACTCCTCAGTTTCTCCACCGGGATATCATGGGGCACTTTGTCAAAGGCCTTGCTGAAATCCAGGTAAACCACATCCACTGCATCCATTCCATCTAGCCATCTCGAAACCTTGTCATAGAATTCCACAAGGTTTGTCTGGCAGGACCTGTTTTTGTGGAAGCCGTGTTGTGTGGCTGTCAGCCTCACTTCCCTATCTAGCATCACTAGATCTCTCTCTATTATGAGCCTTTCCATTGTTTTGAAATCTCCCATAATTACTGTGTCTCTCCCCTGAGATATCCTTAGAATCTGGCCTGTCAGGACATCATCCAGGGTCTCAAGTTGACCTGGAGGGCCATAACATCCCCCCCCCCCCGTCAGGTCTCTTTCCCTGTCAAAACCCCGAAGTCTCACCCAGACTGCCTTTACCGAATCCCCATCTGTGCTGCATTCTATCCCACTGCAACCTATCCCTTCCCTGATGTATAAAGCCACGCCCCCACCCCTCTTTCCCTTCCTGTCCTTTCTAAAAAGGTGATACCTCTCTGTGTTCACATTCCAGACTTGCCTTTCATGCCACCAGTTTCTGTGATTCCCACCAGATCATACCCTCCTATTCCCAGGAGAGCTTCAAGCTCTTCCTGTTTATAACCCATGCTCCTAGCATTGGTGTACATGCACCTCAACTCCTTCCCACCGCTTCCTTTCCTTGGAGTCCCCAGCCTCCTCCTTCCTTCCATCCTCCCTGATACCTGACCCCTCTCTGTAGGAGTCCTGTCAGTCCCTGCAGTACCTCTAAAACCCTGCTCCCAGAGCCCTGATCCTCTCCCCACACTTGTCCAGTGCAGACACGTTTCTGGGGGCCCTGAACCCCCCCCTCCCCGGCTCAGTTTAAAGTCTTCTGGGCAAAGCTCGCTAGAGCATCTCCAAAGGACCTTTTCCCCATCCTCGTGAGGTGCAACCCATCCCTTGCCAGAAGTCCCTAACCCTAAGATAACCTTGGCAGCTTCATATAAAGAAAACCTTTACAAAATGTTTTATAGATGGTATTTATCGCCAAATAGATTAGCAAAAATGTTTTCAAATATGTCAAATAGGTGTTGGAAGTGTAATCAAAAGCCTGGTACTTTTTATCATATATGGTGGACTTGTGATAAAGCAAAAAAATCCTGGGTTAAAATACATAGTTGGTTTGGGAAAATGTTACAAAGGCATGTAATCTTTAAACCTGAACTATTTTTCTTAGGTATTTTACCTGGTGATTTTGACAAAGTATATATTTTACTTTATATGTCATCAAAGTGGCAAGGATTGTATGAACACTGGAGGAATGTGGAAATATCAATGAAAGAATCTATATTAAAGAAGTTATTGGATTGTGCAGAAATGGATAGATTGACTTTGTCTCTCAAGGAGAAAGAAGAAACATATTACTACCAAACTTGGGACCTCTTTTATCAGTGGATAGAGAAGTGGGATTACGGTTAGGGCCAAAATATGCAGTAATTGTAGAGAATAAGATAATAACCTAGTAGATCTGATGTCTTTTGAATGATTATTTGTTCTATTTGTAGAAAAGCAATAACAATTTAAAAATAATAAATATCTGGAAGCATGTATCCTTTATTGAATAATCTCATCTCAAGGTTAGTGACCTTACCACAGTAGACCTTACCAAAACAGGTTAGTGACCTTACTTTCTTTTAAAATATACAGAACAGTCCTGAGGAAGATGCTGAATTAAAGAAATTAAAAGATTTGGAGAAATCAGTGGAGCAAGTAGCTAAAAAAATAGAGGAAGTTAATAAAGAACTTGGAGGTATTCAAAAAGTAAGTTGTTTGTTTCATTAGTTCACTTGTCTGTAACTTGATTACTGAGATTATGGGATGTATCCAACCTTGACCATCTGCCAGCAGAGTAGAAAACCGCTTCTGGAATGGTTTTTCCCTCACCAAAATCTACTACAGAGGTTTGGGGAATGTTGTGGAACAGATTTAGGAGGCAGGTGTGCGGACGCATGTGTGGAGGATGTGTTCATGGGGTATGCGCATATGTGTGGACATATGGAACATCTGGGTGAATGGGGTATACAGTGGTACTTCGGCTCACAAACGCCTCAATTCACGACCAAATCGGGTCATGAACAGAAATTTCGTAAAAATTTTGCCACAGGTCGCAACTGTATCAGGTGACGATTGCAAGTGCGCCCGCCTCCCCTCCAGCGCACCTGCGTCCCATGCCCACCTCCCCTTCCAGGATGCCCACACCCTCCTCCCCCCCACACGATCTTTGTTGTTCTTTGTCACTTTGCTTCAAATTTTTGTGAGTATAAAAAAAATAGTTGCAGAATGGATTAACCCTATTTACATTGACCCTTATGGGGAAATTTGACTTGGCTCACAACCAATTTGGATCATGACCAGAGTCCTGGAACGGATTAAGTTCGTGTGCCAAGGTACCATTGTATGTGCATGCCCATGATTGAGGTTTTCCCTCCCTTTGATGGGAGGATTGTGTGGGGGGGGAGGGGGGAGGTGCATGTGTGGATGAATGGGAGAAGTTGTATGCTTAAATAAAGTAGGAAAGTGTAGGAAAGTATTTAATAAACATCTGTAGTCTTGTAATTGATAGATGCTATTCTCAGTTATTATTTCAGTAAATGTTGATAATTGTCCATTTAGGGTTTTCTAGCAAAGAATCTTCAAACTGAAGCTCTTAACCAGTTGGATAAGCGGATAAAAGGAACTGCTGAACAGTTTATGAAAATTCTGGAACAGATTGATGCTATTGTGAGTAAATAATTAAATCAGTATGTTGTGCTTCTCTGAAAAAAGTGCAGTTGTTTGTACCTCAGAACCAATGCAAGTAATTAGTTGCATTAAGGAGGATCCAGACTTTGTCATGAGTCATGACCTACCTTTCCAGTGGATTTCAGTGGGTCTAGTCTAAGTAAGGCTGCCTGGGTACAAACCACTGATGCTCCAACATGAATAGGTTGGGAGATCTCTTAGATAACTATTGCCTCATTTTTGAATGGACATCAGCAACACTGGGCTATGAAATGGATGGTTGCCCCTTGAGATCTGAGGCAGAGGCCCTACTCCGGGAGCCCTCTTTGAAGGAGATTGGGAGGGAGAGTACCCGGAGGAGGGCCTTCTCTGTGGTGGCACCCCAACTATGGAATATGCTCCCCAGAGAGCTTCACCTGGCACCGGCATTATATTCTTTTCAGCATCAGGCAAACCCCTTTTTATTTTCCTGTTATTTTAATATTTAATTGATTTTAATTGTGGTTTAAGCATATTATGGTCGGATGCTGTGGGTCTGTTTTATTCTATCTATTTATTGTAAACCATTCTGAGACGTTCTGTAGGGGACGGAAAAGCTTTTAAATAAATAAATAAATCCATTCTAGAGAAGGTACCATATTGGTAGCCTATTGAATTTCTTTATTTGGGAGATTAAGGCTCCCAATCTGAAGAGCTGCATTCTAGTGGTTAACTCCAGACAGTCATGCATAGAGTAGATCTACTGAAATTAATTGGACTATGTCTAGTCCAACTTAATAGTTGTGTGGCTCATGCATTAGAGACTTCTAGTTTTAGTTTTGAACAGAAACTTCTCTCTGTGGTATATGAGAAATTGTTCCAAAGCTTTACAGGAGAAATGGGAAAAAGAAGTGTAGGAGAGTTGCTGCTATTCCAAGGCAAAGTATCTTTTCTACATGTTTTGAGTGCAAAAGCTAGTAAATTCATATAGATTTAAGTAACACTTGGATATCAGGAAAAATGTATTTTGTATTCCTAGAAATGGATCATTTTTTCTGAGGGTTGCTTTGGATGTTTCATATTTTACTCTTCCAGCAAAACTGTATTATTAATGATTTTAAAAGAAAAAAATCTTGTGTTTTCTTTTTATACAGTGCTATGGGCCATTTCATGTATGCTTTCTCTATATCAATATTATGGCTGGATAGAAAACATGTTATGTGATAATATTCCCCCAAGCAGAAAATAATCAGAAGTACCTGTAAAAAGGTTTTATTATGCCCACGGTGTTTTGGAGGGGACTTTCTTTTCTTAAGGGGATGGTTGTCTTATCCCAAATGTATTACAAGAAACTTTCCAATGCGTCTTCTGTCTTAACATGCTCAAAAAGTCTCTGATTTAGCAAAAGTTTATTCAATGAGAAGGTTTGGTCCATCATAACACTTGGTATTTTCAGCAAAAATTATGTGTATACATACACACTCCCACACCCCTTAGACATAAGTGTCCCTGCTCTTTCCAACACAGAAATAAAATCTGAAGGAAGATTTTTAAGTGTATTATTATGTGCTAACCTTGGGATTTACTCTATTATAAGCATATGGGTCCTGCAGTAGATATAATCACCATTCTTAAGAAGGCTATGTTTTCTCCAAGATTTTATTCGTTGTGAAGGCCAATACATACATGGATTCAGAATCCACCCTTAATTTAAAAAAAATCTTACAGATATTTTCATTAGGTAAATATAATCAATTTATTTGTATGCTGCATTTTCTACAAATTGTTCCCAAGGTGGGTAGCAAAATAGAAAATGTGAATACAATAAATTATATTGTAATATTAACAATTCAATTTTCACAGTTCATTTAAAGCATATCTAAATGATCATAATCAAATACTTTGGCCACCTAATGAGAAGGAAGGACTCCCTGGAGAAGAGCCTAATGCTGGAAACAATAGATTGCAAAAGAAGAAGGGGACGGCAGAGAATGAGGTGGCTAGATGGAGTCACTGAAGCAGTTGGTGTGAGCTTAAGTGGACTCGGGGGGATGGTGGAAGACAGGAAGGCCTGGAGGAATGTTGTCCATGGGATCACGATGGGTCGGACACGACTTCACGACTAACAACAACAACAAATGATCATAAACATACCAAGATATTAGTCAATAATGAATGCTAAAAATACTAACAATATACCTACTGTACAGATTTCGTTTAACAATTTTTGTTAATAGAACTAACAATAAAATTTCTCACCCACATCAAACTGGCAGCAAGAGAACAAAATGGCAAAACAAAGATAAGACATTTCATCCTCAAGGAAAAAGATCATCCTGTCACCAAGGGTGGATCTGATTTAAATCACTAGTCAGTAAGACTAGATTTCTATCATGGTTTTCTACATAATTTGAATGCATGCATACCTTACCCACACATAGGAGAAATTCATTAAAATATTCTCAAACTGGGTCTCTTTTACAGCCAGCTGCCATTATAGGTTTTCTCCTCCGCAGAAAGAATAATATGATAAACCTCAGACTATTCACAAAAAGATCCAAAGACTTGTGGAGGATTCTGCTCCAAAGGATTCACTTTCAATTTTACTGCTTGCCCCTCCCTCCTCACACTTAGCTTCTTGTGCAGATCTAGTCAATTCCCAGCAATATTCTTTGATTCATTGAATTTTTATTTTATAACATTTGTGCTGTGAAGAAAAGACATATGTTCTCTGCAGACAGAAATTCACAGTTTTGAGACTAGTAAAACCTAGCATCTGTGATAATATCTTCTAGATAGAAAAATTGCCTAATGATCTTACAGAAACTTCTGGAAGAGCATGACATTGTGAATGGATTAATGGAATTTATTTGCCAAAACATGTAAACATTGCATGAATATACAACCTCATGCTATATCATTAAAAATGCTTCCTTATTTCATAATGAATAACCTTTCGGCTATAATGTTTCCTAAACAGAAAACTGCCCATAGAAACTTAAGTGAGTCAGAGGGGATTTTCCGGGCCATCTAGTCTGACCCCCTGGCTCCAGCCAGCTCTGTTCATGACATGCCTACCTTTATATAGCTTTTTCCTCAAAAAGCATTTAATTTTTTTAAAAGAATCAGTTTAAATTAAAAATCTGATTTAAATTAAAAATCCAATTTTTAATTTTAAAAATAGAAAACAATAAAAATCATCTGCCCTGTTGTCACCCATTTCCTGAGCCAAGAAGGGATCCCCCATCCTCCTAGCAGCTCCCCTTACTGTCTGTCTTTAGGTAGCAGAGCACCAATAGAGCCAAATGGGATGTCTTTCCCTGGATAGAAGATATTGCTAAGAGTATCACAAACACCTTCACACATCAAGTCTTGTTCTTGGTGAACCCCTATAAGTACACACAAAAGGCCAGAAAGTCCCCGGAGTGCCTTCTGGATGTCATGCATGACATGTGGAAAGACCAAATGCTTGATGTCATGCATAGTTCCTTTTCTGTTTACAACATTTGCACTTAATACTAGCTGTTTTAGCCAGTATAGGATTAGACCTTTACCCACAGTTAGTTATCTTTACAAAACATTTGTCAAGAATTGTTATAGATTATACATAGATCAAGTATTTAAATATTAGAAAACATCTCCTATGTTTCTCAGTTTTTAGAATAATAACAAGAATACATTTATATCCCACTTTTCTTCCTCTTACAAGCAACCCTAGGTGGCTTACAAGGTTCTCCTCCTCTCCCCTTTATCCTTACAGGAACAAGCCTGTGAGGTAGATTAGGTTGAGAGTCTGTGACTAGCCCAAAGTCACCTGATAAGCTTCTTGGATGAGTGAGGAGTGGGACTCAGAGCTTCCAAGTCCCAATCCAGCACTATGCCCATTATGCCACACTGGCTTTCATGTATCTACATACCAGTGCATCCATGCTTCACTGCTGGTTTTTAAATTGCAGATTATTAATTTCTGTATGTCTTGAATAACAACTTTACTATTCCAATCCAACAGTATTCACTGGCTATAAGAATAGAATTCGGTATTTCCAGTCCAGTAGTCAACTATTGCTATCCTTCTTTGATACTTAAGAATCTGCAAAGATGCACAAGTAACTTAAAAAAATGAATTGGATGTCTGTAGAGTGTTAAAAGAATGGGGCAGAGTTAAATGCTTAGAAACTGACCCAATTAATATGATCCAGATAAGCCACAGTGGCTTATCATGAGCCTAATGTGTGTGGGCATAATTTTCATCACTATCACTTGGCTACTGCTTGTCTGAATCTGGGTGGCATGTCCTGTTGGAGGACTAAATGACATACAAAGCTGAGGTTGGACAGTGATTAGACAAATTGTGCCTGGTACATACTGTGGCTTATAACAAGCTGGGATAACTTGTTTTGATTGTACAAACTAGGTCATTGGGTCGGAGCTTTTCAAAATAATTTTAGACCAAGTTATAGTTTTGTAACTTTTAAAAACATATTTGAGTTCTTTCTGTTCTTTCTTCTGAATATCTACATTCAAGTAAATATATAACTTAATAAAGAATTTACTGTAATAATTATTAGTCATGCATCATTGCAGAGAGCTGAGAGAGTGCAAGCTGAAAGACTGAACTGAAATCGATGCCTCCATCCCAACATGATTTGGTTCATTATCTCTTAATAAACTTTTTTGTTCTTACAATAGCCCTGTGATGTAGGCCATGATTATTCCCATTTTAAAATGAGTTTTCAACAAAACAGCCTGAGGGCTGAGTGAAAAAATACTGAATCCTGATCAAAGTCCAAAATATCTCTTCAACTATTCTAGCCAGCATGGCTTATAAGAAGGGTGTTCAGTATGTATAAGATACATGTGACATGCAAACATTTTTACTTAACTTGATATACAGTGCCTTGCAGTATTCATTTCACATTGACTTTTCCACATTGTATGCCTTACAACCTGGAACTGAAATAGATTTAATTGGCATTGTTCCTTCATGGAGACAAGATAGCCAAGACTGTGAAGGTACAAAA